CTTGTCCTGGCGGTGGCTGCAGTGTCTCCCCCTTCAGCCTTCCACTTCCCAGAATTCTCCTCTCTCCTTGTCCCACCTACTTCCTGCCTGGCAACCTACTTCCTGCCTGGCAACCTACTTCCTGCCTGGTCACTGGCCATCAGTGTTTTATTTATATAGAGCAATATCCACAGCAACTATGGCCAGGTTTATCACAGCATGAGGAACTAAACTAAAGTGTCACAGCATCAGGAAAGTTGAGAAGCACTGCTTTAAAGGGTAGGATTACAGGTGTGCACCACCATACCTAGAAAAAACATTTATTCTTCTGGTGGAATGTTCTCCATCATGAGAGCTGCTTCTATCATTAGATGGCTTGCCTCTGCATAAGGCCGTGGACACTTGGGTTAAAAGACTAGACAGAAACCATGGGCTCCACACAGCCAATGATAACTAAAGATCATGTGCAAGAAAGGGTTCATGAAGAGATGGTGGGACCCAAGACCAGGCTCCAAACATCAAAACAGTGATAATCAAAACGTCATGTGGGTTGCTGAGATGTATGTGAGGTTTTACTTCTCTGTCTTGTGAGACCTCTTAGGTAAAATTGACACAGTGCAACTTAAAGCCAGAACAAGATTCCTTCTCTTCACCACACCCAAGGTTATAGAAGTGTAAACACCTGGTGGGTGAGGTGATCCTGATGTGGTTGGTGACCTGCAAATAATATTAAACTTGGGGACCCAGGAAATGGAGGATTGGAAGCTCAGAAAAATTTTCCACCTGTTTCTGATCCCTTTTCTGGACATTTACAGGCTCTGTTTAAGAGATCAATGACAGTTCCCACAGTTTATAGGGAAAGAAACACCATTGCTGACAGCAAACAGTTCTCTAAAATGGTGTTTCACAACACAATGCAGTATATTGACCCAGGTAGCATAAAGTGTCAACTTGTCACAGCTAGAGTCATCTGAGGGGAGACCCTCCAATGTGGGATTGGCCTAGATCTGATGGGCCTGTGGATATGTCTGTGAGGGACTCTTTGATTGTTAGTTGACGTAGGAGGGCTCAGCCAGGATGTAGGAGGTACCATCCCTAGGCACATGGAAATCAACTGTATAAGAAAGCTAGCTGGGTATAAGCCAGCTGGCAAGGCAGATAATAAGCAGCTTTCTCTATGAGCTCTAATTTTTGCTTGTGAAATGTGATCCTTTGATGGAGGTAATGCTGTGTGTACCAGCAAGCAGATCCACCTTCAGATCCTGCCTTGACTTTCTTCAGTGTTGGACTGTAATCTTTAATTTTAAGATGAATAAATGCTTTCCTCCCTTAAGATGCTTTTAGTCAGAGGTTTTAAGATTTTTCTTTTTCTGTTTTCAATCACAGCAAGAGAAGTGTAAATGGAATATGTACAGAGCTGAATTGAAAGCAGATCAAAATTCCTCTGGTGCTCTAGTAAAGCAGCATTAAGCACCTGCCATTCCAAAGCAAAGTTCACAAAGAGAAATATCCAGACCCAAGGCAGCTTTGGTTGAGACTCTGGTTCCTGGCACCATAGATACTCTCTCAGAGTATACTCAATAGCCTTACAGAACCAAGAGCCCCTTTCATCTTAGGAGAGAGGTAATCCAATAAAAGCTATGAAGACAGTGAGATATCAGTGAGTGTTCCCACCAGAGCCACACACGGAACTCACTTAAATAGGGAAACAGTGAGGTTCCTCTCCTGATATTATTATTTTGTGTATGGGTGTTTTACCTACAGGAAAGTCTGTGCACCACATGCATGATTGGTGCCGATAGAGGACAGAAGGCGCTGGATCCCCAGGACTGGAGTTATAGTTAGTTATGTGTCATCATGTAGGTGCTGGGAGTGGAATGTAGGTCCTCTGGGATGGCAGGCAGTGCTCTGAACTGCTGAGCCATCTCTCAGCCTTCTAACTTTTGTTTGTTTGTTTGCTTTTGAGACAGGGCTTCTCTGCTGACCAGGATGGCCTCAACTCATAGATCTGCTTGTCTTTACCTCCTGAGTTTTGGCATTAAGAGCCACCATGTCTGGATTCTTTTCTCCTAAGTTTTCACAACTTACTCCAATTACCTGAAATTTGAATCCTTTCTGATTCTATTTGGAAATCAAACTCTGTGGGTGTTGTAGAAATCAGGAGGTGGGGACCCCATCCACTTTTAAAAGTTTTTTTAAAAAATAATACCTACCCTTGAAGGCACATGATATCTACAACAAAAAAGAAAAGAAAAGAAAAGAAAAAATTAAGGTTTAAAAAACAAAATTTCTCATGCTTTTGGATTGCCATGAATAAAAGATGAAATTGTCTATGTTGTCAAAATCTATCTAGTGATCTTCGCAATTCTTATGAAAATTCCAATGATATTACTCACAAAGCAAAAGAAAAAATCTACAATTCATGTGATAGCTATAAAGGCCCTAGGGGGGGAAAAATAATCCAAAGCAAGAAAAAACACTTCCGGTTATCAGAATATTTGAACTCAAGACTTGGTTCTAAGTGGCAGGAACAGCATGGTGCTGTCAGAAAACAGAAGAGTAGACCAGTGGAGTAGACAGAGGACACAGAAATGAAGCCACACAGCTTGCAGCCACCTTGGTCTGTAACAAGATTTTTGTTTTTTGTTTATATATCTGTGTCCAGGTGTATGGCAGTGAATGGGAGTGCCCTTGGAGGACAGAAGAGGACTTTGGATCCCCTGGAGCTGGAGCTAGTTACTGGTGGTTGTGAGTTGACAGACTGGATACTGGGAAGCAAACCTGTATCCTATGTCAGTGCAGAAAGTTCTCCTAACCACTGAGCCATTCTTCTACACCCAACATACTTTTGACAAAGATGCCAAAATCATACATTGGGGAAAATGATATTTTTTGAGTAAGTAAGTAGTTTTGGATATTCACACATAGAGGATGAATTTAGATTCTCATCTCTCCTCCAACCAAAAGTGCAGTTCAAATTAGACAAAGACCCTAAGGTGAGATCTGAAACCACTAGAGAAAAAGCTACAGAAAACAGCTCAGTATATGGGCATATGCAAGAACATTCTGAGAAGAAATCCAGTAAACCATATATTCCAAGGAATCAACAAATAGGACTCCAAGAATTAAAAACCATACTCCAATAGCAAGGACACAATCCCCAGCATAAAGAGACAGACTGGCTAATGGGAGAATTCTTTACCATCGACAGATCAGTCAGCAGATTAATATCTAGGCTCTGTAATGAATTTCAAAACTTGAATATCAAAAAAATCTTCCAATTAATAAATGGACAAGTGAATTGAAGAAATACGACTATAATTTACAAAACCTCGATAAACATTTGGAAAGGGGGCAAATACCACAATCGACTGGAAAATACAAATTAAAATTGTGTGGTGATACTATCTCATCATAGTCAGAACTGTCATAATAAGGAAACAAAAGCATCCAGGGAGGAGGTGGAAGTGAGCTCTTATACTCTGCTGGTCAGACTGGGAACTGGTGCAGCTGCCACGGGAATCAATATGGAGGGATGTTGGTGACTTTCCTCAATTCTGTGACCAAATATCTGAGAAAGGAACTTGAGCGAGGATGGTATATTTGGGCTCCTGTTTAAGAGTTTAGTCCATCCTGGTGGGAAAGGCAGGGTGCAGGTGTCTGAAGTGGCTGATCACATTGTCTCTTCAGTCAGAAAGCAGATGAATCCTGGTGCTCAGCATTCACTTCACTTCACTTTGGAATCAGCCAGAAACCCCAGCTCAGGAGATGGTGCTGCCCAGACTCAGGGTGGGTCTCCCCTCCTCAGTTTACCCTGTCTGGAGACAGCCTCACAGACACACCCAGAGGTGTGGCTCCCAGGTGATTCCAAATGTAGCCAGTGGAAGAGGAAGATGAACCATCACAGGAGGTTAACAACAAGAAAACACTAAAACTGTCATACCGTCCAGTGGAGCCACTCCAGGGTCTATACAAAATGAATCTATGTCACATTGTCACAATGGGTACGTCCATACCCATGTTCAATGCACCCACATGCTGCACTGTTCACAGCAGTTAAACCGTGGAACAGCAGATGCCACACCTAACCATGGGATACCTGCTGAGGAAAGCTGCAAACAGCGAGTGGAACCACCCAAGAAAAAGAAATATGTTGCAGTCAACAAAGCTGAAAGCAGTTAAGAGAGCTGAAGAGCATTTTGACATCAGACACGGAGATAGAGAGTGTGGAGTTTGCCCAGCTGATTTTTGGTCTTGCTTTTGTCTGCTTTTCCTCACTCTACTCCTTTCTCTACATTTTGGAATGCTAATGTATATCCTATGACATTATATGTTTTAAGTATGTAATCTATTCTTTGATGCTGATTTTATAGGGGATTACTGTTAGGAGATTGCATGAACCTCAGAAGGGTGAATCTAGGACTTTGAAACATTGCTGATACTGTGATAGACTATGGGAACTTTTGAAGTTGAACTAAATGCATTTTGTATTATGATATTTTTACAAGCTTTTGGGGGCCAGTGGACCTTGGTAGTTTGAATGTAATTGGCCCCTATAAGCTCCTAGGGAGTGGCACTATTAGGAGGTGTGGCTTTGATGGAATAAGTATGACCTTTTTGGAGGAAGTGTGTCACTGTGGAGTTGGGCTTTGAGGTCTCATATATGCTCAATCTAAGCAAGTGAGGCAAATGACTTCTTGTTGCCTGCACAAGATGTGGAACTCTCAGCTACCTCTCCAACTCCATGTCTGCCTACATGCCACCAATCTCACCATGATGATTAACTCTGAAACTGTAAGGCACCCAATTAAATGTTTTTCTTTATAAGAGTCATCGTGGTCATGGTGTTTCTTCACAGCAATAAAAACTCTAAGACAATATGTAATATATATACACACAAGTTGTAGAATACATTTTTGTTGTTTGTGTGTATATGGTTTCAGGGCTGACCACTGTGCATTAGACATTGAATAAGGGGTTCAAGCCTGGGAGAAGGTAATTCTCCTCTCAGCAGTCATTAGGTGCCTGTAGTCCTTTTTCTAGGAGTGTTCTACATCAACATGTCCATTAATACTGACATTGTCCTGGTCTTGTTTATATAGTCATTTTTAGAAGAAACTGTTGCAGAGCAAGCTTCCTGGTATTTTAGCTTTCACAACCTCGCTTTCAAATTGGTACCTGACCAGAGACACAGGAGCAGTGATGTAGATGTATACATTGGTACTGGTCTCCCCATGACCCACTGGTTTATTTCCGCATTGTGTCCAGTTGTGGTTTCCTGTGATGGTCTCCATTTTCTGTAAAGAGAAAGGTCTTAGATGAGGAATGGTAGCTTCACTTATCTGTGGGTATAATGATAAGATTTCAAGTGTAGTAAGGAATTATGCTAGTCTAGAAAAGTTGTGCTGGTAGATTCTTTTCTAAGGTCCATGACCTCACTTGCTCTGGGAAGCTACTCTGACTAATAACAGTTTATGAAAGAATTTATATTGACTGTATAGTTTTATCTTCAAAAGCAGAAATAAAGCAGAGTGTGTGAGCTGGAAGTGAAGCAAGGCCATTGGTGCTCCAAGCTCATCCTTTGTGACATACATCCTCCTACAAGGTTTCACCTTTTACAATTTCCCTAAACAGTGTCACCAAATGGGAACCAAGTGTTCAACTAGGGAGCCTACGGGGACGTTCGTGAGTCCAGCCTGATTTCATAGTGTCTGTACTAGTTTATGCTTCCACGCACAGTGCATAAGAGTGTTCCTTTCTGTACATCCACATCAGCATTGCTTGTCACTTGTATTCCTGATCATAGCCATTCTGCCTGGAGTGATGGAATTCTGAAGTAGTGTTAATCTGTGTTTCCTTCACAGCCAAGGACAGTGAATATTTTTCAAAGTGTTTTTTAGCTGAGTGGGATGCACAACTTTAATCCCTGCACATGGAAGCCAGAGGAAAGTGGCTTCTGTGAGTTGCAGGCCAAGCCTGGTCGGCACATGGTGAGTGCCAGGATGGTCAAGAGGCACATAGAGAGACCGTATGTAAAAAAAAAAAAAAAAAAAAAATAGTTTACTAGCCATTTGTAATTCTTTCTGAAATTATAATATCAGGAGCCTATGTTTAAAAAAAAAGTTGTATATTTAACAGTGAATTATGATGGAGCACAGAATGTTCTTTCCACAAGGTAGCCTTCTAGAAGAAAATGTATAAACCATAAGTGAATGCACTTGAAAGCAAGGACATGAATGGAACGACATGACATATTTTTTGCTCTTTTCACATGACCAAAGATGATAAGACATAACACCAGCTGAATTCCCTCAATGCCCTTCTATTTGCTTAGGTTAACTGCAAAAGTCAACTCACGTTTCCCTTGCTTTAGGAATAAAAATGGGAAGTGCTTTGTTCATACCACTCTTAAGTCTGGAGTCCCCTGGTAATCCCTTGTAGATCTTTTCACAGAACTTTCAATCTGAAGAGATTTAGCCTCCCTGGCCTGGGAAGTAAACAGTAATTACAACATTTCTCCCTTCTTTTTCTCCCTTGAATCCCTTCCAATATAACCTTTCCTGTTCTCCACCAAATTCATGGCTTCTTTTTTCATTAACTATTATTGCATGCAAATATGTATATACATATATACATGCATATTTCTAAATATAACGTCTTCAGTCCCTGTTACTTGTATGGATGTTTTCAGGGCTGACTATTTGGTACTAGACCAGAGACTGGTGTGCTCTCTCCATTCCCAGCTTTCCTCAGTTGCCTGTAGTTTTTTATGTGGGGTTGAGGCCTCATGGGCTCTTCTCTGCCCATGTTCGCCTGGCCATTGGTGTCCTCATTGTTCATTCTTGAGCAGTCATGTTGGTGAGAATTTATGGGCATAGCTTCTGACCACACTAGGAGACACAACCTCACAGCAAACTTCCTGATCTCTAGCTCTTACAATCTTTCCACCCCCCTCTTCCTCAAATTGGCCTGAGCCTTAGATGTGGGAGTATTTTATACATTTCTCTATTGGAACTGAGCTCTATAACTCTGCATATTGATTGGTTATATTTTTCTGTAGTGGTCTCGGTATGTTGCAAAGAAAAGTTGTCTTGATGAGCGGTAAGGACCACACTTATCTGTGGGCATAAAGACAAATGTTTACAGATTGTTGTTAGGGATGATGCTGCTTTAGCAAATTCATGGCTGTAAATTCTCCACCATTAACCATGACCTCACTAGCACTGAGCAGTTAGGTTTGTTTCCTGTAGCAACATGGTTGCCCTCTTGTTGAGCAGGTCTTAAATCCAGTGAGTTCAATTTAGTCCAAGGTACACATGCCACAACTTCATTTCTGTTGTCATGCTATGCTGGATGGTCAGGTTCACAGGTGTCACAGCTGGGAAGGACTACTGGTTTTCCTCCATCTCTGGATGCTTTCTGGTACCAAGAAATCTAATCCAAAGGGAATAGAAATGCAGGTCAGTTCCAGCTCTGGGTACCACAGCCATTTTATATCCCGGGTTAAACAACAGTATCCTCTTTTGGAAACAGTTGTCTTTTCAGCTCTTTCCAAGGGCTCAGTGCTTTTCACCTTGGTGCTGCTTTGCTGTTCTCCTTTCTCCTGCTACAAAGTAGGGAGAAGAGCTGGGTGGAAAACAGGGCGTTTGGAGGACACTGTGAGACATACGTGCTTGGGTCTGTGGGGAAATCTCACCTCTGGAGCCAGCTTCAGTGAGGTTAAACAGCACATGACAATTTGCTAACAAAAGGCATTCATTCCACTGTAAAACTGAAGAACCAGAGAAGCGAGAGAGAAGGAATCCAGTTGCTTGCTGTGCTGTGTATTGAGAATGAGGACAAAAAAGAGGTAAGGATTTTTGCCCCACCAGAGGATTATCAGGGACAAAACTTGATTTAGAATTGTAAACCTCTGATATCTTCATATTTTGTAAGATCATGCCACACAGCTTCCAGAAGCCACAATCAAAGAGGATCAAGCCAACAAAAATATCTGCCTTCACCCCTGGGTAACTTGACATACTCTCTGTCTATACTTGGGGTGAGGGCCAAACTGCTTGAAGACCTGTACCTGCAATTAGTGTGTGTCTACACCTGGGAGAAGACATCCTGAAAAACCCGAGGAATAAATAAATGCCTTTTCACCTAAACAAACAGCACTATGACTGATACTCCTTATTCCATCTTCCAGTTTATGTTTGGGCCAGGATTAACTATAGAAAAATATCAGGCCTTTTTTTTTTTTTTTTTTTTTTTTTTAAGGCTTAGGTCAGTCTAGGGGTTACCTGTTAGCACTCTATGAAGCAAGAACAATCATCTATATTGGAATATCTTCCATCTCTTCTTTGCCCCCCTCTCCAGAGAGTCCTCTGATATTTTTCCTTTTTTTTCCTTTCATCCCCTTGTGAGCAACCACTAGGAAAGGGAAGCCTGTTGTACTGTCTGGCAGAACTTAGGTCCCTGTACCCTGCCCTCTCTCATTAGGGACCACACTGAAGGGAGCCTATAGACACCAGTCACTCTTGACTTCCCACACTGTGACCTTGATGAATCCTTTCAGATGAATGCTGATGTGCAATTTGCTTTCTCCTTTTCATGCAGCCATGTTCTCCAATCCATGAAATAATGTCACCCACATTTACCGTGGGTTTCCCCATCTCAATTAATTTAATGTAGAGAAATCTCACAGACAAGCTTAAATGCTGGTCTCCAGAGCCTTCCAAATTAACAATCTTAAGAACCACAAGAATTATCTGAGCCAATTAATTAATTTTTAAAAGGGCAGAGTCAACATGCCAGCATTTTGCAGCTCTGATAATGAATCCAGATATCTATTCCCAATTACTCTTCATGACGCAACCAATTTTGTACATCTGACAGAATTACATCACCTAGGAACTATTTATTCCACATATACCCGCTAGTTGTGATACTTAAACTTCCAAACAACATCTTAAAAAATTAGGAATCAAACTGACCAACGAACACCTGTGTTCAAATGCCTCACTCCACCCAGGGCAGTGCTCTGAGTGCTGCAGGGGAGGGTCAGGGACCCGCACACAGGGAACTAACTTCCTTGGAGGCTGAGGAGGAAGAGGAAGTGCCTCTCCGTGTAGCCTTGGAAACCTGGGAGGCATTTCCTTAGGAGGATCCTTGATCTGCTCTGGCAGCCTCAGAGGCGGAGCAGCCCAGACACTGTATGACAGCGGTGTCCCCGGGTCACTGTGACGTTGGAGGTAATAGTGGTGTCGCTCTGCCCCGCAGGTCTGCATCACTCTAGGAGGGGGAGGGCACGGCCAGCATGCTGTCCCCGCCTCTGCGCTCAGAGTAGAGCCCGGTGCTGGCACGTGCCAGGGCGACGGTCCCTGGTTCTTGGTCCTGAAGGACCTCTTCCTTGTTACAAGCTCTTTTGGTTGAACTCTTGTGACGATTTCTTTTTCACGGTCCTGTTTAAGATGGGGTGGCTGCAGCACCCTCCGGGACTGGAAAATCCAAGGTGAGGAGAGCACTCCACTGCCCTGCATCTGCTTCCTTCAGTCACTGGATGAAGGTTCTCTTCCTAATCGGTGCAGGTTGGGCTTTCAGTTTTCCTATTGTATGTAATGTGATAAGAAACACTTCACCACGCAATTAAAATAAAAAGCTAAGGCTTATGCTCTACTTCTAATATGAACTTTTGGAAATTGGAAATGTTAGAAAACATGGGACTTCAGTCAGAACCCTTATCCCAGACTGATTTGTAGCAACAAATTAAGATAAATACCAGAGGAGGTTTAAATTAGGTGTTGTCTGATGTGTTCTGACATACTGTCAAATCAATTTAGTTCAATTTACACAGGAAAATACATACCAGCATATTAATCAAAAGTTTAGGAAGAAAAGTTATCAGATGTAATTCAGAGCAACACAATTTAAAAAATTCCACAGGAGTATTTTTTAAGTCATTTAAATACTTGGGAAAATTTGAAATGTGAGAAACACAGGTTGCCAGCAACAATTTGTCCCTGACTCCTCTTGAAACATAAGAGATGCAAAAAAATAAACAACCAACCAAAATAAACAATCGAAAAAAACCTCATCATCTTTGTTTCTTTATGTGACAAATGTAATTTAGATTTAATAATTACAGTGGATTGGTACATTCTATTTTATTAGTTTGCTGTTATGATCTTCCCAAAACCTTTTCTGACTAAATGTTTGTTGTGAGGAAAATTCTTAAAGTTTTCTAAATGGAAATGAAAATATGTGGAGAAAGGCAGAAAATAGATTTATTTATAAAACAGAATGTGGAAGATAAAGAATCAAGACCATATTTGAAAATGCAGTGTTTGTTAAAATTCCTTAGTCCTAAAATCTGTACACTGGCACACAATTATAATATAATTCTATTTGGAATAAAGGTGATAGAAGGCAGAAGGTACACTTAGGTTAAACATTTTATATAGAGAAAAGAAAAATCTAGGTTTGAACTTGCATTTGAAAGCCCTAAAATGGCCTGCAAAAGGAAAGGATACTGTCTTAGTCAGGGAGTCCAATATCTCTCAACTGCTTGAGTTGGAAAGACTTTCAAAAGATCAAGGAAATTTCCTGCCACAGCTTGGCTCATGAGATGGTAAACTATTGATGGGATCAATCTGAGTGCTAGAGAAGTGGGAAAGTGAGTCATGTTCTTACTCAGATCTCCTTGAAATAAAGACTACATAATCTAAGGAAATGGGAGAGAAATCATTTCCTGATAGACTGGCTCAAAGGAAACATTGGGATGCTTGGTTATCACAAGCAGAGGTCTCAAAAGTGTCATTTACTGGAAGTTGATGAAGGAAGGACAGAGATGCAGAGCTTTAGGGCCACTTCACTGGGCATGATGCTGCTGTGCTTACAGAAGAGGTGAGAAATAAAAAGGTTGCTTCACCAGGGATGTCAGAACTGGCGTGTGCCTTTAGTGCCTTTGCAGAATTTCATGGTAGAATGTAATCTTGTGGAAACAACTAACATTTGAAAGCAGGGGCGGAGTGTTGTGTAACAATTTTCCCTTTTTTGACATGAATTTTTTCTGTTGGTTTTGAGATTATCCTTTTTTTTTTTTTTTTTTTTTTTCTGAGACAGGGTTTCTCTGTAGTTTTGCGCCTTTCCTGGAACTCACATTGTAGACCAGGCTGGCCTCGAACTCACAGAGATCTGCCTGTCTCTGCCTCCTGAGTGCTGGGATTAAAGGCGTGCGCCACCACCGCCCGGCTGGTTTTGAGATTATAATTACATTATTTTCTCTTCCCTTTTATTCTTTCAGACTCTCCCTACAGTCTTCCTTGCTCTCTTTCTAATTTATGACATCTCTTTTCATTAATTATTGTTACATGCATGTGTATATGCATGCAGTTGTATTTTGCTAACTGTAAACTGATCATTCTGTATTGCTAGCATGTATGATGCTGAATATCCAAATTGTGTGCTCTTCCCTGGCTAAAACTATTTCCTTAAGGCTCAGAAAATTCTATGGAAAGATGGAGGAGGTTCATAAGACTCAGGTATTAAACCATGGCTGGGAAAGCTGAAACTTACAAGATTAATAAGGCCCTTCCCCTGCCAAGGTTGTATAGGTGCTGAGTAGGACAGCTGAAGAGATGAGTCATGCAGAGATATTCAGGCTCCTAGTTTTCATGAGTCACCCATTTTAATATGAGCCTTTGTGATGCTACTGCATTTGAGTTATTCATATTCCTGTAAGTAATCCCTTACCTATACTCCTATCAATTAACTTCAGTAAACTCATTAATTTGTGGGAGTAGGAATTACATGGTGTTCCTTGGGAGGCAGACAGGTAAAGAAAGGGGGAACTAATAAATAATATCAATGGTCAATTTCTAGCTTCCTTTTGACTTTTCCATCCAGAGACAAAGCCATGGTGGGCTTTTTCTTCCACCAACAGGCCCCCTCTTCCAGGCTAGATAGATATGTTCAAGGTTAGTCCTGAAGATGTTTACCTGAAGCTGCAGGTGATCATAGCTCTTGTGAGTGAGCTATGACTGTGTCATATCCAAAAGACAGCATTTCACAGCAGATCCCCTCATGCTCAGTCACAGTATGAAGGATCCATTTCCATAATGCTCCCTAAGTCCACGGCGAGTGGCTGACCTTCGTGCCCCGTTTAGGACTTAAGCATTCATGATCACTTCAGCATTTTGAAGTTTCCAGGCTGTGCAGTTACTGCTGCCTACTACAGAAAGAAGAACCTCTGACCAAGACTGACAGCTGAAGAGATCTAATTGTAGAAACGGAAATACTTACAAAGCAGTTACTAGTACTGTGTACTGTACTAATTCCTTCCTATAGTGCAGATCAGAAGGAAATGAATTATACACTAACTCCATGTCACTGCTGCACCAGTGATTTCCTCATACTCTGTGGGCTACCATTTAAATGGTACTTTATTTTCCTTTAATGAAAAGTCTTAACTTCATGAGATCCTTTGTGTTTATTTTTGGTCTCATTTCCTATTAGCTGAGAGTCCTATTCAGAAAACTCTTACCTGTGTTTAGAAGTGGGAGTATTTTCTCTACCGTGTCCTTTGGCATTTTCAGAGTATCAGGTCTCATTTTGACATCCATGACCCATTTGGTGCAGGGCCTATGTATGGCAGAAGATAAGGGGCACAGTTTCATTTTCTGTATTCTGAAAACAATTTTTCACAACCACTATATCTGAGACAGTATCTTCAAATGCTAACACACACACACACACACACACACACACTGAAATACAAATATGCATGCAACGTTACACTCAGTATTCACAAGTACATTCTGCTTATAAAATGGATCACTTTGAAATAACCAGCTATGTAGTAAGTAATATGAGGCCAAGCTCTGACCACTCAGAGTAAGGCATAGAAACCATTTGCATTTGAATAAATTCTCAGCCATACTTATAGCCTGGCTCAAATACTGCAGATTGGGTGGTCATTTTCTTGGGTCCTCAGACCCATTATCACACTAATAAAATAAAAAACAAAACAAAACTGTAAACACAGAACAGGACAAATGATTCTTACTTTTGATGATGAATAATATTTAAATTGCCCGGTAATTCCAGCATTTCATTAGTTTTAGTTATTAAAAGCCCAAAGCACAAGGCTGCCTGGAAAGGAGCAGAATCATGTGGAAGACAAGGGTGGCCAGATGCAACCTCACATACAGGGTGCCAGAAAAACCGACGCAGCCTTCACTGTCCTCCCTTTCAGTGAGGAAGTTTAAGATTGGTGTCCTGGAAAAAAGGATACAGCATGGTGGAGAAGGCAGAGAAACTGTTCAACATAATCCTAAGGTGAAGTGGTTTTGTTTGAAAGACAATAATTGGCCATAGAGTGACACCATTTCAGTAAGAAAGAACACTTGTGTGTTGTGTGCTAGTTACATGTGAACAGCACATGAGGATGACCTCCACTGCAAAGGGTGGACTGCTCTTCACTGCCTTCCATTCTCTACATTTGCAAGTTTGAACCACACAAATAGTTCAAAGTAAAACTGTTTAATTTATATTCAAAACAGCCTTGGTATCATTAACAACTCATCCGTTACAACAAAAGTGCCAACTGATGCACATTTCTACTAAGAAAAGGTGCTTTAGGGGAGAAGGAACTTGAGGTCATTTTTCTGTACATTTGTTCAATGTTTCTATGAGACCAAAATTTCCCTGCAAAAAAAATAACAAATATACGGCACAATACACACTTCTGTAGGTAAGAGGTTCTGGGAAGTTAGCAACAATGATACAAAAACATGGATATTGATTCTCACTGAATCCTTAGGAAAGCAAATCAGCTTGCTCAGGACCTGATGTGGATGTTGATCTTTGCAGTTCATGTGGTGAACACTAACTCCAAAGGTGTTAAGAAAGGTAGGACCTTTGATCCCTATGTTCTAGGATCTTTGGTACAGGAAGGCACTCCGCACAAACTATCATAAGAGAAACACCATCAGCAAGCCAGCCACAAACCCTTTATCTACAATGGTGTACTACCCGCAAGATATGCTAGGTCAATGGTGGCTCAAAGCTTGTGGGAGTAACCAATGCCTGATTTGACTTAAGGCCAACCCCACAAGATGGAACCCTTATCCATCACTGCTTGGGTGACCAAAGATAGATAGTCCAGTGACCTAGGGTAAAACCAAATAACTACTGGTCTAAAAAAAGAAAAAAAATTACATAATGAAAAAACAACTCGTAACGGTATTCTATTATACATATAGATCAGTGCCTTGTTCAGCCATCATCAGAGAATACTCCTTCTGCAGCAGATGGTTACAAATGTAGAAATCCATAGCCAGACATTATGCAAAGAGTAAGAGACCTTGGAACATACAACCTAAAACAGAATGTCTCCATTAAATCCCTCCCATCAGAGCTCAGGCAATCCTGTGGAAGAAGAGCCAGAAGGGATGGAGGACACCAAGAAAATAAGACCTTTTAAATCAACATGAACAAAGTTCATATGAACTCACAGAGACTGAAGCAGCATGCACAGAGCCTGCACAGGTCTGCACCAGGTCCTCTGTGCTCCTAGTTTATAGTATTTTTATGGATTCCTCAGGTGCTAATGTATGGTCTCTGATTCTTGTGCCTTCTCTTGGGCTCTTTTCTTCTGTTGGTTTGTCTGTCCAACTTCAATGTGATAGTTTTTGTTTTATCTCATATTTTATTTTGTTCCATTTTTAAAAATGTAAAAAATCAATGGATTAATGATGAATGAATGAATAAAACCTGGCCACTAGAGTAAAAGGTTAACAACTGAAGTGTCATTTATACCCGCTAAGAGAGGGAAATCAGTTTTCTTCAATAGAGTGACAATGGGTACATCAATTACTCCAGGCCAGGTCTCATGTTCAGGAGTAGTTGACCAACATATAATGTACTCCACAATTTTTTTTGTATGCTTTTGTTTGGTTATAGTTTGGTGGGTTTTGTTTTTTTGTTTCTGTTTTGCTTTGGGGTGGTATTTTATTTTATTTTCTTGTTTTGGGGGGCTTTGTTTTATAGGGTTTTGTTTGTTTGTTTTTTTGTGAAAGAACTCCAAGTTTTGTGGGTAGGGAGGGGTAAAGGGTCTGGAAGGACTTGGGGGATGGGAAGAATATGATAAATTATATTTAAATTTAAAATAATAATTTTAAATAATAAATGTCGCAGTGTGTCGATGGCACCAGTGTGTGGCTTTACTCAGATCCGTGAAAAGAAGACTCAGAGGTACCTTAAGAATGAATCTAGCCTTTCTTGGCTGCAAGGGGTCCAGCCTCTTAAGTCTGTTTGTGCAGATTCCTTTTCTTTTCTTTTTTGAGGGAGGGTCTTACTATGTAGCCTTGGCTGGCCTGGAACTCACTGTGTAGACCAATCTGGCCCCAAACTCATAGAGATCTGCTTGCCTCGAGTGTGCAGATTTTTTGACTGCCACAGTTATCAGGGCTATGGCTATATCTGAGGCTACCAGCAGTGGTTGCCTGAATGATGCCCGGAACTGAGTGATCCAAGGTAAAGATGCTCAAAGGTTTTTAAAGTGCAGTGTTTTTTAATTTTAAGTAAATCTCTTTAGGGGACTGGCGATATGGTTAAGAGTACTTGCTGCAGTGCGACCCGGTGCCTTTTTTGTGAAGCAGCAGATGAGGAGACTCCAGCGCTTGCCATGGCTGACGAGAAACCTAAGGAAGGAGTCAAGACTGAGAACAACGATCATATTAACTTAAAGGTGGTGGGGCAGGATGGTTCTGTGGTGTAGTTTAAGATTAAGAGGCATACACCACTTAGTAAACTAATGAAAGCCTATTGTGAACGACAGGGTTTGTCAATGAGGCAGATCAGATTCCAGTTTGATGGGCAACCAATCAATGAAACAGATACATCTGCACAGTTGGACATGGAGGATGAAGATACGATTGATGTGTTCCAGCAGCAGACAGGAGGTGTCTACTACAAAGGGAACCTGCTACTTTACTCCAGAATTTTGGTATAGACCAAGAATACATTCGCAATTAGAAAGCTGCAATTTGGTTCCACCACATCCTGACTACTGCAGTATAGTTTTCTCTGTTCTTTCATTTCCCTGTCCCCATTTCTTTATTGTACATGAAGTAACTGGTGTATGTGCACAAGCATTTGCGCTTTTTTCTTTTCTTTTTTAAACTAAATGGCCAGTGTTCTGTTTTGATTGACATCAGATGGAGATGGTCTGGGGAAAGCACTGGTTCTGTGAAAATATCCCCCTTTCTTCATTAGTGGCATGCTCATTCAGCTCTTACCTTTATATTCCAGTAAGTTATTTTGCTCTCAATGTTTTAACAAAAGAACTCAACAACAAAATCCTTGCATACCTTGTTTGATTGGAGAATTTTAATATTTTTCATTTATCATTGTAAAACCAAGGACGATTTTATAACTTTTTTGTTACATGTAGGGCAATCTCTTTTTAAGTAGGGGTAAATTACTCTTGAACAAAAGGATCCTAGATAGTTTTCCCTTTACATCAAGCGTCTTGTTGTTTAAATAAACTTCTTGTTTAAAGAAAAAAAAAAGAGCACTTGTTGCCCTTGGAGAGGGCCTGAGTTCAGTTCCCAGCACCGACAGAGTGATTCACAACCATCTATAACTCTAGGTTCATGAGATCCAATTCCTTCTCTTGACCTCTGTGGGCACCAGGGATGCACATGGTACTCAGACAAAGATGCAGGCAGCATAAGTATATACACAAAATAAAATAAAAATAAAAATGAATAAATCTAAAAAAGGTTTTTTAAAATTGTAAAGAGATTAAAATTGAGAGGTAGCACAAGAGAGAGCATGGAGGGAGGGAAGGGAGGAGAGAGAGAGAGAATATGTATGTGCAGGTTACAGGAGTTGGTTTTCTTTTTTAAAAATAATTTATTTTTATTTTATGTGCATTGGTGTTTTGCCTGCTTGTATGTCTGTGTGAGGGTGTTGAGTCCCCTGGACCTAGAGTTACAGACAGTTGTGAGCTGCTATATGGGTGCTGGAAATTAAACCCAGGTCCTCCAGAAGAGCAGTCAGTGCTCTTAACCTTTGAGCTATTTCTCCAACCCCAGGAGTTGGTTTTCTCCTTCTGCCATGTAGGTCCTAGAGATTGAACTCAGGTCATAAGGCTTGGCAGCAAACACCTTTACCTACTGAGCCACCTTGACGGCCCTTATGATTAATTTTGATTGCCAATTTGACACAACTTAGAGTCACCCAGGAAAAGTCTCAATGAGGGACTGCCCATGTTGGATTGGCCTATGAGCATATCTGTTCAGATTGTCTTGATTATGTTAATTGAGGTGAGGAGTTCTCTACCCACTGTGGGTGGCACCATTCCCTAGGCAGGAGATCCTGGACTGTATGTAGAGAGGGTACTGAGCAATTGTAGGCATGCATGAATTCATTTTTCTCTCTGCTCTTAACTGTAGCTGTGACTAGTTACTTCAAGTTCCTGCATTGGCTTCTCCACAGTGATGGACTACAACTGTTGTTTAGTAATTTCTTTCAAGATTATATACTTCCATCTTGGAGGAAAGCTTGTTAAGACATAGAATGTTGAAAGGGAGGTGAAGGAACAGGATGGGCTAAGGGGATGCAAAATATTTCATTCTTCAGGGGATTTCATTAAGCTTAGAAAGTAAACAAAATTCACTAGCTTCAGGAAGTTACTGAAATTGATTAGATTTACTAGGCCCCGCCCTCTCCAAGCCTATATGAGCAATAAAGACTACCACGAGACAGTCTCAGACGAGATGAGTTTCCTGGAAGAAGCATAGACCAGCCTTATTGCCTGGGAGAGGCTCAGACTAGCTGAGCTAACTGCAAAGGACAATCTCCAAACTATTGAGCTGCCTGCAGGTTGTGTAGTGGGCTCAAGGTTTCATTTTCATGAGTAGACTTTGGTAATGAAACTGTCTTTGAGTTATTTCTGCTCCTGTAAGTAATCCCTTACTCATATTCATGTAAATAATCTCAATTAATTGGTTCACCAGGTGGGACGTTGGTGGTACCCTTTCTTCGATCTATAGTTGGTTCCCTAACTGAGGTTAGTAGATATTTGTTCACATCTCCTCAGGAATAGCATCATACAACAGAGACCTGGAAGGATAAGCCAGATAGCCTTTTTCTCTCTTAAAATAGTTTTTGTCAGGTTATCCTTTCACAACAACAGAAATGAAGCCAAGGCATCTTTGAGTGAATATGAGAACAAATGTGTGGGGGCAGGACTATTGTGGAATATTAGTTTAAGATGTGTTATATTTGTTCGTGGAATATTTGTTTAATGATGCCAAGAGATGTTGCATTCTTTTATGTTGCATTTGTTTAACTCTGTAAAGCTGTGTTACTTTGTCTGACTAAAACACCTGATTGGTCTAATAAAGAGCTGAATGGCCAATAGTGAGGCAGGAGAGGGGTATGTGGGGGCTGCCAGGCATAGAGACTAAATAGGAGAAATCTACGTTAGAAAAGAAGACGGAGAATAGGGAGGGGCAAGAAAAGGAGAAGGAGAGGAGGATGCCAGATGCCAGGCACCCAGCCACACAACCAGCCATGGAGTAAGAAGGGAAGAAAGACATACTGTTGTGTGATACTTTGTTTGTGTTCTGACAAATAAAGCTTGCTTGGAGTCTGAGGCTGGAGCTAGCTACTAGTTAACCATAGAGGTCTGTAGGTCTGTACAGAGAGGAACAGGAAGTGATAAGGCGGGGCAGAGACAGGATCATGGCCCTTTTGGACTGGAGGAACCAAAGAGGAAGGAAGCGACTGTGGCTGCTCTCCTCCTCTCATCTCAGGTTTTTATTGATAAGATTAATTATATTTATGATTCAATATATAGAATAAAGAAAAGTAAAAAGCCCAGAGGCAAAATGTAGAAGAAGAGAAACACATTAAGTTAGAAAAGCTGGCTAGAAACAAGCTAAGCTAAGACCAGGCATTCATAAGTAAGAATAAGTCTCCATGTATTTATTTGGGAGCTGGGTGGTGGGTCCCTAAAGAGTTTGAAAAACAAAAATCAAAAAACAAAACAACTATACAGGACACATGATAAAATCAACTCACACTTTTATAGCATCTCCAAGGTTAAAATGCCTTTTTATGCAGTACTAGGCATGAGGGGTTGTGAGGGCTTACAGATTAATCAGTGAGGAGTTTTACAAGGCCAGGTGATTTGACATTGAATGTGTACTCAGTGCTTGGTGTTCAAGTCTTCTGTCTCCAAACCTGTTTCTTGGATTCTTGTTAGCTGTCGAACAGCTGCCCATGGAAGTCCTTGTGGGTGACACTGACTTCTGAAGCTCAACTCTCTCATGTCTCGCAGAAAGAGTAACTTACTGAGACTGAGTTGCTGGGTTGCTTTCGGCTTTTGCTTTCTTTGTATCATCCCACTGCACTGAGAGTGACTGGGACAGTCCACTGTGCTCTATGTGGCAGAAGTAGGGGTCTTTGTCCTGAGGAGGGACTTCCACCTCCACCCAGGACAGGTAGGTGCCGTTTCCATTGGGAAAAACACCTCCTGATTTGGATGCCAGCATCTTGCCGGCCCGGTTCCAGTGCAGACTAATTCCTTGTGGGTAGAAGTCATAGGCCAGGCATTTGAATGTCCTGTTTCTTCCTGGGGCTGCACGGCTGGTGATTGTCACAGTGGGAGGGTCTGTGGAGGGATCAAGTGTGGATGTTGAGAGTTTTAAGGTGGACCTTTTCCTTCCATGCTTTCATTCCTAACTCCCTGGATGACCATCTGATCTGACTCCCCCAAGAGACCTTTGTGAAGCTCAGGAAGGTCTGAAGTTTTCCTGAAGCCTTCCCTGTTGGGTTATGTAATATGTCCACAGCTACTTTCTCACTCCCTGCCTCATGTTGTGGTGTATTGACTTCAGTTGGCAGCAGACGCCAGTTGAGACAGGGTTGGGGAGATGGCTCAGTGGGTAAAGGGCTGGCTGCATGAACATGATGATCTGAGCTTGGATCTCCAGAACACAAGTAAAAGTTGGATGCAGTCATGCATGTCTCTGTGCCCAGAACTCATATATGGTGATGGGTAACAGAGACAGGGAAATACCTGGAAGCTGGTTGGCAGGCTAGCCTGGTGTCTCAAACAAGGTAGAAGGTGGGAATCAACAGCTGAGGCTCTCTTCCAATTTCCACACATGTACCCTCATACATACATGTATGCATACATAATACATAATACACACATCATACACACACACACAGAGAACAAAACATAGAGACAGGACCTCACTACGTAGCTCAGGCTGGTCTTGAAACTTGTGACATTCCTGCCCCAAGTGCTAGGATTACTGGCATGTACTACCATGCCCAGATTCTGAGTGTCTTCAGTGTGCTTTATAGCCCCACCCCCATCTCAGCCCAGCTCCTCCGTTCTGTCTACATCTCTGTCCATTAAGCTGTTTCATATTCTAAATAGTCGTTTCCCCTTTTCTCCAGTGATGTCTCAGTGTGTGGCACTTGATTCTGCTCTTGTTTGTTCTTCTTTCCTAGCCAGACGTTTTACACACCTACCTCCTCACTACAAACAAGACGAGAGGCACCATTGTATCAAGGAACTGTTATGGAGTTTGAAATCCGAAATGTGGAATTTGAGTGCCAATTGAAGCTAAATCCCAGTTCTTTCTTTCTCCATCCTTCCCACCCCTTTCAGAGACAGGGTATAGCTTTCCTGGTACTTGTCATGTAGGCAGGCCCTGAACTCATGGCAATACTCTCTAGCCTTAACCTTCTGAGTGCTGGGGTTACAGCATGTGATGCAAAGCAAGGATTATTTAGGGAACCTTGCCATTAAGCCAGTTTTGTTCCTGACGTGTGTGTGTGTGTGTGTGTGTGTGTGTGTGTGTGTGTGTGTGTGTGTATGTGTATTTAAGATTGAATCCAGACTCTTGTACATGCTAGGTAGGTGCTCTACTACTGAGCCACACCCTAGCCCCTCACTGGAGGATTCTAGGCAGGTGCTCTACCACTGAGCCACACCCCAGCCCCTCACTGGGGGATTCTAGGCAGGTGCTCTACCATTGAGCCACACCCCAGCCCCTCACTGGGGGATTCTAGGCAGTGCTCTACCACTGAGTCACACCCCAGTCTCTCATTGGGGGAGTCTAGGCAGGTGCTCTACCCCTGAGCCACACTCCAGCCCCTCACTGGGGAATTCTAGGCAGGTGCTCTACCTCTGAGTCACACCCCAGCCTCTCATTGTGGGAGTCTAGGCAGGGGCTCTAAAACTGAGCTGTAACTCCTAGTTCTTTCCACTTTTTTGACGAACATTCCTTTTGGCTCTCACATCATGTCTTCAGAAGGAACGAATCCTAGTAAATGAAAGCTGGGGGATTAAGGGACTAATAGGGGTTGATGGCACAACCTGCCATGGTCCCCTGAGCCTGAGATCACTTTGGTTCACTTTAGTACTTGGAGCAGATCATAAAAGCAGTACATACCTTTTCGGTCCAGGTGAGATCTGCTGTAGTTCAGGTACCTCTTCAGCATTGTGGGGCACTCCTCCTCTAGGTATGCCTTGGCTCGCTGTGTGTAGACTTTTTCTGCCTCCCACTTCAGCTTGGTGTTCTCAGCTGCTGGGACTAAGGGGATCCAGGCTGGGATTTCTTTGTTGAATTCAATGAAATCCTGTCCATCGTAGGCATACCTCCAGAATGCTCCATTGCTTCTGTTATTCAATAGCTCACAACCGAACATTCCCTGGAAGATGTGAGACCCTGAAACCTCCCCGACCCCACAGGGAGTCAGTCAGATGGGTGCCAACTCCGGCTGAACGACTTTCATTCTTACATACTTGGGAATCTAAACACTCAATTCTTTATCTTGGCAAACAGGTTACTGCTGTGGGATGATCCTTCTGTACACTGTGAATATGTATTACTCTCATTGGTTAATAAAGAATCTGTTTGGCCAGTAGCCAGGCAGGATAAGGTTAGGCGGAAAAACGAAACTAAGGAGGGGATGAAGAAGGGAGCAAGAGAGATGCCAGTGAACCACCCAAGAAACAATATGCCAGAGGACCAGTAAAGCCACAGACCATGTGGCAATACATAAATTAATAGAAATGGGTTAATTCAAATGTAAAAAGAGCTAGTTAATAATAAGCTAATGGCCAAGCATTCTGTAATTAGTATAAGCCTCTGAGTGGTTATTTGGGAATTGACATGTGGGAGAGAAATGTCCGTTTACAAGTTACTAACCAGGCACACAGCAGAGGAAGAAACTACTTGGCTGGGTGTTTCAGGCCTCTCTGAGAGGAAATGCATTCTTTATACTGGGAGAATTTCATGATTATGGACAGATTCCAAGTCTATTTCTTTCTAACAGGATCAGATACTCTGGGTGACTTTGAACTTCTGACCCTTTTGTCTTCATTTCACTAGTGCTGGGTTTACAGGTGTGTGACACCATACCCAGTTTTATGTGGTGCTGGGGATTGAACCCAGGACCTCTTGTGTGCTAGGCAAGCACTCATATTTCAAGCCTTTTTCATCGTCTCATCTAACAAACTTATATGTTTTAATGGATGGTGAATTCTTCAGAATTAAACACAGTCACACTGAACTGCATTTCCAAGTTAAATATAGGAATTATTTGTGGTTTCTTATAGATTATAGGAATTTCTACACGTCACTTTCTATCTTGCATTCAAATAATTACTCTATACATAATTTTGGATCACTTCCCTCTTTTCAGTGGTTAGTATCTTATTTGTTTATTGTTTGTTTATTGTGGGCTGCAAGAATATATCAGAGAGATTCACCTGTGTATTAAAGCTGAACTTTGACCAGCCAAGGGTCTGTCAAAAGGCAAGCCATTTATTATGAATATTTGGTGTTACCCAGCCTTTAATATTCCAGCAAGAGAACATCCTTACTGTTCTAGTGCCTCCAGCTGTCTTCTGCTATTAAATCCTTTTATGCCCAGACCAATTGGTAAATAGTTCAGGTCCACAGACCTGCTGAACCTATTAAGTTACTAACTGCCCTGCTGACTTTAGGAGACAAGCTGGTGGGAGATGCTTAGCTTTGTTTCCTGTGCTAATGGCGCTCAGACCATCCCTTGCCTTGAGGAGGCCTAGTGATTCTCCAAAGCATCAAAAGAGGTTTTTTCATATCAAGGTGAGAGGTAAAACAACATTCCTGAGGAGGCAGGGAACCACATGCCCAGGGAAAGAAAAGGCAGGCATTTTCTGCAGACAGAGACAGAACAGCATGGTGAGAGAGAAGAGAGGAAGACAGAGGTTCCATAGAGGGTAAGCAGATCTCAGCTAGAGTTTTCTGAGTGCCAGGAGTAGAGAGTAGCAGAGATGGAGAAAGAGGATACAGAGGACGAAGATGAGGCTGGAAGCATAGGAGTTAGTGGTTAGCAGGGCTCTGAGTGGGATAATGTAGTTATGGAGACAGGATTTCATCACAGAGAAATAAAGTAGATGGATAAAGAGCTTGGTATGTCTAGAGTTATTCTTGCCTTGAATGCCTGGTGGAGCTATAGCTGAATTGATAGAATTTTGTCTTAGAGGAATAAAGTTAACAGACATAAGAACATAGTGTACGTAGATTCCCCCCCCCCAGATCCCACGCTGGACTTATCTGAGCCCCTGGACCCTAGGTACTCCATAGGATCTCACTTTATAGCCCAGGCTGGCTTGGATCTCATTACATAGTCCAGGCTGGTGCAAACTCATGGCAATCCCCCTGTCTTTGCTTTCCGGATGCTGAGATTACTGATAAGCCACCATCCCTGGTGTTTACTCCAGACCTCTAAAGCCCATGAACTTTACACAAAGTGGCCTGCCTAGCACAGGTCAGTCTGATTACAACAGCGGATGTTGACCCAGTCCTGAGTTGGCACAGGCTCAAAAAGCTCTTAAGCTGTCTGGGTTTAAATTCCAGATCTTCCCCTGGTCTGCCCATCTGCCTTGTTAAGTGAACTATGAAATATGATTAAGCTTAAGTGAAACACTTAAAAAAATCCTCGAAATGACAACAGTAATAATAATCTTTGAAGATGCTGAGCATTGAATGTGTTCATACCTGGGCCTGGCACAGAGCAAGTGCTCAGTAAATGTAAATTACTGTTACCTTCTTTCTTACTAATTAGATAATTGTGGTGTGTGTGTGTGTGTGTGTTTAGTGTAAGTGCATGTAAGTGTGCATGCACACTCAGAGCCCACAGAGTGCTGGGATGTTCCTCTATTGTTCTCCACCTGGATAGGGTTGAATCTGATACCTTCTTGAGTTGAAAGGTCGGTGGTCCCTGGGTAAGAAGTGACTCTGATATCACTTCCTTTAGGGGCTGAGGTCTGGAGTGAAAATAAAAGAAGCCACGGGGAAGGAGGAGATCAATGTGAGTGTGGGGGATGCGCACGCTCGGGGTGGGGGTGGAGGGTAGGGGGTGGAGGTGGGGGGTGGGGTGGGGGAGGGGGGTTGGATGAACTTGTGCACGTCTATCTGTGCTTACTGCTCCTCTCTCTCTCTCTCTCTCTCTCTCTCTCTCTCTCTCTCTCTCTCTCTCTCTCTCTGCCTGTGTGTGTGTGTGTGTCTAGTTCCAGCCTGGGGAATCTTTTCCAGTCATATTCATGGGGCTGCCTCAGGTAAAGCACTCCACCTCATTGGTCTGTAATAGCTTACTGACCTGCACTGTCCTTGTAATAGTCCATGATGTCTTTCAGGGTCACGAGGAAGATCTCCTCCCTGGCCCTCTGAAGCTGGCTCTCCTTCTCCCAGTCCTCCATTCCTTCTACCTGGCTCCACGGCCCCACAGGCTCCGCCTTCCTGCTGTTGCTGTCGTAGTGGAAGAAGGCCTGGTCATTGAGAAACGCGGTGGCTTGAAACCTGGGGATGCCTTTGCTGGGCCTGGACAAGCCGGTGTAGAGGAAGATCAGCGAATAAGGCCCTGCGGAAGAGGAGAAGATTCTGAGGGGTGGGGTTCATGCCCAGGAGGCCCACTGGGGAGCGGCAGAACCCCGGAGGGAGGCCCGGCCATGGAGCTTTCTCCTCCTCTGCTTTTACTGCCGCCTCACACTGTGGGAGGTTCACTCATGTGAAGGGGCGCCATTTCTCCTGGGGACGCCATGTCAGAAACTCTTCTGTGTTGTCTACACTCTAGTTCGCATATAAAATTGTGTGTGTGTGTGTGTGATATGTATGTGTTCTTGTGGGTGTGAGCACGTGTGCATGATGTAGAGGTCAGAGGTCAAGTTGGTATGTCTTCCTTTATAGCTTTCCATCTTTTTTTAAAAATTGTGTTTGTGTGTGTGTGTGTGTGTGTGTGTGTGTGAGACTTGTGCATGCACAAGCATGCACATGCCACTGTGTGTGTAGCAGTCGGAGGACAGCTTGTAGGAGTTGGTTCTCTCTATCATGTGGGTCCTAGGGATCAAACTTAGTTATCTGGCTTGGTGGTAAGTACTATTACTTCTGAGCCATGTCTCTGGTCTGACATTTTATTTTTTTGAGATGGGGTCTCTCACTGGACCTGGAGTTCTTCAGTTCAGGCAGGTTAGGCCATAAATGAACTCTAGGGATCTGCCTCTACCTGTCAGTCTGTCTATCTATCTATCTATCTATCTATCTATCTATCTATCTATCTATCTATCTATCTATCTATCATATATTCATCCATGTACCCATTACCTGTCTATATCTTCCCGTCTATCTATTCATTCAACCATCATCTATTTACCTATCCCTGTTTATATCTTTGCATCCATCCATCCATCCATCCATCCATCCATCCATCCATCCATCCATCCGTCCACCCGTATATCTAACCCATTAGTTCTGTTCTCTAGAGGCCCCTTACTAATTCATATTTTTGGTATAGAATATACTTAACATTAAAAATATTTATTTAAAAATTATATACACTGCACATGTGTGCAGTATGCAAAGAGGCCAGAAAAGGGTGTCAGATCTCTTGGGGCTAGCGTTACAGGCAGTTATAAACTACCAGGTGGATTCTGGGAACTAAACCACAGGTCCTGTGCAAGAGCAACAAGTGCTCGTAAGCGCTGAGCCCTCTCTACGGCCCATTTAGAACATACTTAACATTCTAAACACAGCGCCTTATTATAAAACAGACATAAATAACTATGTAACATTCTGGGAATGTACTAAGTTTTTGAACTGGAGCAGTTTGAAATCTTTATCCAAAAGTTTGTGTGCAGTGAATAGCCTCATTCCCTGTCCTGGAACTGACTGTGGATCTCACTGGTTCCCCGCTGCCTCATCTCACTGCGGAGGAAGGTCCTGGTTTCCTCGCTGCTAGCCTGCCTCTGTATTTTTCTCCTGGGATCTTTTCCTTTTTCCCTCAGAGTCAGACAAGTGGAAGAGGGGGAGGAGAGAGTAGAGGAAACTCGTGAGGTCCATATTCAGTTCCACTGCCTGACTCTCGGCAGGTCACTTGGCCTCTCTGGGTATACTTTTCCCATGTGAAAAGTCTTTTGTGTGTCTGCGTGGGTGGGTGTGCTCATGGGTGTTAGCTGGCCTGTGGGCTTCTGGACATTCTTCTGCCCTGCCTCCTGCCTTGCCATAGGAAAGCTGAGATTGTAGACAGATGTGACCACATCTGGATTTCCATGGGTCCTAGGGATCTGAACTCAAGTCCTCAAGATCATACTGAACCACCTCCCCAGCCCTGATCCTCCTGCTTCCAGCTCCCATGTGCTGGGATGACAGGAATGAGATACAGGGTTTGTGTGGGGCTGGGGTAGTGAACCCCAGGCTTCATGCATACACAGCAGGCACCCTATCAACTGAGCTACACCGCTAGCCCTCAGATTCATGTTCCTTAAGGTCTTATTTAACCAAGCCCAGTGACTTCCAGAATGCTTCTACAAGGGTGATCTAGGTTAATGGGCAACTTTGCAAACCCGTTACCACTGCACAGATGGGAATCCCAAGTGCACGAGGGATCCTTCTTACGGCCCAGCACTCTGTTCTCTGCCTTCCCCTTATTTCTCCCCCAGTCTTCCTCTGTTTTGCCCACTCACCAGTCTCCTGAAGGACTGCAGGACCCAGAAGGAGAGGCAGGGACAGCAGGACAGGCACCATTGCTACTATAGTGCCCGGAAGGAAAGTCTACACAGCGAACATGGCTCATTCCGCGAGGCCTGGCATCCTGCCAAGGGGAGGTAATTCCACAGCCAATGAGAGAGCTTAGAGGAATTCCTCCTCAGACAGTGTTGAAGACAGACGTACAAACCGGCTGGGCAGAGGTGTGGTCACAGGCTTCACACACAGGAGCTGCTGAGAGCTGAGAAAACCAGCCTAAGGACAGAGACCTTGTGTGTCCCTCAGATGAAAGAACACCAGTGGGGTGGAGGTGTGTGTAGCAGGTGTGCCATTGGAAGGTGTGCCATTCTTACAGTTTACGGTGACATCCCCTACCCTGGTGTCAGCAGGGGGATTTGGGTGTTGCTAAGACCATGTTGTAAGAATGAATTCTTCCTTCTGCAAAAGTGTGGGCAATTCAAGGGAAAACCTAAACACACCCTCCAGGTTCCCTTGCTTCAAGTAGACTTCATTGACTGATCAAGACAGGATCTCTTGTATCCTGAGCTGACCTTCAACTTCCTACGTGGTTGACAATGATTCTAATGCTTCTATGTCCCAAGCCCTGGGATTACAGGCACGAGACGCTACACTTGCTTTTTGTGGTGCTGGGGATGGAACCTGGGACTTTGTGCATGCTAGTCAAGCACTCTGCCAACTGAACTACATCTCAGCTCTTTAGTTGACTTTAAAGACCACTAATTTATAAGTCACATGGTTGAATAGTGTAGTCTCCCACTAACTTTACTATGAAGGTGAGAAAGCCACCAAAGGTGGCCTTCGTATCGTTGGGAAACTCCAAGACAGGATTCACAGAGAGGGCAACAAGGGAAACAAAGGAAGGATTAGGGCTAGGTGCTGCTCTCTGGAGCCAGGCCAGGTGCAGCTCAGCAGGAACGCAGCCACAAGGGAGGGGGGAGGGAGGGAGTTCCTAACTATCCTGGAATCCATAACTACCTTGCCACCCTCCTGTCTAAATGCCTCCTGACAAATCCCTTTAAAAGCCTCACACCTGCAGCTCTTTTCGGGGTGGTCTGTTTTTTTTTCCAGGGTGATCTTTGCCAGCAGAGTAGCCACCACCATTTATTTTTTTTTCCTTTGAGAAATTGTCTTTTCCTTATCCATGACCTGTCACCAATAAAGCAAACTTTGGTGCTGTCTGCCTTAGTTATCTTTTAAGTATGAGTCAGGATTTCTTCTGGAATCCAGGGCAGGGGCTGAAGACAAGTGAACGCTATTCTTCCCCACCAGTGGATACCACAAGCACCATGAAACTTGCTTTTTTTTTGCTATTGACCTTTATGGATGTTGCAAGCATTGTTCCTTTACTGTTTGCTTTCACTAGCTTGCCTACATGGCTGTTTATTTCAGGAGGATGTCTGGTTACCACATCTGGACTGCTGGGGACTGCATGCTGTGTGTGTGTGTGTGTGTGTGTGTGTGTGTGTGTGTGTGTGTGTTGTGCATATGCATATGCATTTGTGTGGGGGCCAGAGCTGATGTCTTGTGTCTGCCTCAGTTACTCCCCACTTTATATTGAAACAGGATCTCTCACTGAGCCTGAACCTCACAGGTTTGTCTTGACTGGCTAGCCAGCAAGCCCAGGTATCCCCCTGTCTCTGCCTCCCCAGTCCTGGGATTACAAATATGTGCTGCTTGCTTGAATTTGGGTCCTAATATCTACATATCAAGCACTTTAGTGACAGCTGTCTCCCCAGATGACAGTCTATGCTTTTATGCATCTTTCCGGGCCACATGCCCACCCGCTCTGCAGCTAAGCTGGGAGAGAACCCATCCTTCCTACTCTCCAGCCTTGGCTAAGGCACTTCAGAAGCAGAACAAACCACAGTGCCTAGACTTTGGTTCTATCACCTAATGGGCCACCCGCAGCTCTCCAGGGTCAGCAAGAAGCACACTTCATCCTGTTCCTTGGAGATCACACTGAGATCTCCTCTGTAAATCTCAGCTCAGAAGCCTTCTGCCACACCTCATACATGGGAAAGAGTTGGAGGCTGGTGTTGGCGAGTGTGCCCCCTGCAGAACTTAACTGTGGACCACTGGAAAGAGTCATCAAAGCTTTGGTAACATTCTGATGCAACCCTGCTTCAATCAATGGGAACAATCGACTTGCCATCCCCTCCTCCACCCATGTAGATAACGGATGCACCCAGCTCAAGAGTGGACGTGTGAGGAGGAGGCAGTTTGCCGTAGTCTTATGCTCGCTGCATGTTTTTGCTGGCTGTCTCAAGAATGCAGCAACTGGGGCTGGAGGGATAGCTCAGTGGGTAGTACTTGGGAACCTGAGTTCAGATTCCCAGCACCCATATAAAGTGCTGTGATCTAGCACTAGGGGGCAGAGTCAGGACCACCATGGAAATGGGTGGGTAGGGGCTGTTGGAGGCTTTGTAGGCAGCCAGGTTAGCTGGCCAGCTCCTGGTTCAGTGACAGGCCTTGGCTTAAAAACAAGCAAGGAGCCAGGCCTGGTGGCACACACACCTTTAAGCTGGCACTGGGAGGCAGAGGCAGGCAGATCTCTGAGTTTGAGGCCAGCCTGGTCTACATAGCAAGTGATAGGCCAGCCAGGGCTGCACAATAAGACCCTATTGCTCCCAACAAAACAGGCTCTAAGGTGGAGCAGTGACTGAGGGAGACAATCTGAAGTTGACCTCAGGCTTCCACAAGCGCCTGCATGGGTGAGCACACCTGCACACATGAGCGTATACACTCATAACACCACACCCACACACTCACACCCACACATTCACACCCATACATGAATGCAAGACCCTGTCTGTTCTTCATCCAGGTCATTTCTCAGAGAATGGTTTGCAGTGGAGTTTTCCCAGGGGACAAGATGCTGACTCCCTTCGCAAAAAGAGCCGGTGTCCTTACTGCTGTCTGCAAGCACGTGATTTCACCAAGACCGATATTTCTAGACGGCAACATAAATCTTTCCAGTGTTCATCTGGCCTCAGAGAGACATTGTTAGAACTTTAGGGGCCTAAGGGAACTTAGGCCAAGAAAGACGCCCGTGTTGCAGTAGATGTCTCACTCTGTAGGTCTTTCTTACCCATAGTTCTCCTGTCT